CATAAAGAAATTTCCAGATCACCAGTTTTCAAATTATAAATATCAACTTTTGCAGCTTTAAAATTCTCTGAAAAAAAGTAATTTTTCTCAACACAACTTTCCAAATAGCTTGTACATGGATTATCCTGGAATAATTTTCTGACTTTTAGATGGTCAGCTGGTGGATAGAAGAATTCGTAAACTGATGTTGGAATTTTATATTTTAATTTTGGATAAATGTTGGTTTTATGAATTCCTGAAGAATTCATCAATATCAGTTCCAATTTGTAATTGGAATCTTCATCCTCGTCGGAATGAATTGTGTCTGGTGTAACACGATTGTCCAGAAATCTTACCACTCCGCCACGATCATCAATGGTAGTATTGATTCGTTTATTTTGAGCAATTGAAAGTACCCAAGTTCTTGGTTCAATTACAATTCCAAAATCACTTCCTTTCTCAAAATCTCCATCCATTATATTTGTATTATTTGGTGACAACGATGATTTTGATCTTGAAGGTTTGATCTCATTTGCTTGTGTTGTTGATGTTTCTTGTGGGGACTCCTGCATCATATCTTTATTTTTGAAACATGACACTGCAATTAGTATATCGTCGAACCCAGAATCTTCATCGTTATCGTCATTGTTGTTTCTGTTTTTGTTTTTGCCTTTGTTTTTATTTTTGTCCAGATTTAGGCCATTTGAGATCGTTAAAGACCACCATAAATTAGAGGGTGTGATTGGTGAATTTATGTCCTTTTGAATTGGATGTTTAACAGGAATTGAGGTTTGAAGATTTTCCGTTTTATAATACACCAATTCATATGTTTCTATTATTCAATAAATATAAATATTTATTAAAGCAACCACGGATTTTTACAAAGAAATAATAATTAATTTAATTAATTTTAGTTACCGGTATTAAAGGTGGCAACGAAAGCTCCATCGTGACTAGCGGCAATGTAGTAACTACCTAAATCATTATCATGCTGTTGATATTTTTCTATTGTTGATTGTCTTTGTCGTGATACTTTTCTAGAATTTCTACTGAATGTTGAATAAATTGATGCAACTTCCGATTCATATTTTTTATTTTTAGTTTGAGTAATTATCACTTTATCTTTTTGGATTGATTTTTCCATTATTTTTTTTTTTTTGAAAAAAAAAAGTATTTTTTTTTTAATCGAGAAAGAGAAAAATGTAAATTATTTATTTAAAAAGTGTTTGTTTGTAAACGAATTCAATTCGATTGTTACATGAAAATCTACAATTTTACACGAAAATCTCAACAATTCGAAACTCTTTTTAAAAACTAATTACCTACACTATAAAAAGCAAACGATAGGAGCGGTTCAACTACCATTGATAGAAATAACAAATTTTTTTTTTTGTGACGAATGCAATTCGTTTGTTATACGAAAATCCCGAAACTCTTTTTTAAAAACCACCACATATACTATAAAAAGCAAACGATAGATGCGGTCTAACTACCATAAATAAATTTTTCTGTAAAGTGATTCCTGAAAATATGTTACACGTATGTTTTTTATATGTAAAGTAAATATAATTCAAGCCTTTGTTACTGTACTAAGAAAATAGAGTTTAATATTTTCACCCGGTTGATTATCTTTAATGAGTAGATGTCGGTTATTGTTATCTTACTATGCTCGTTCGTTACGCCTGCATATCAAATTAGAATGTAAATCGTATGATTCTCGTAAATCCTTGTTAGTGATGTTACACGTATTTAATATTAAAAAAAAAATCATAGCGGGTATTCAATTTTAAGAAATGATTGGCAGTAGTTACACAACAGTATCAATATACCCCGCCAAGTAATTCAGTAAAAAATGAATTAATTCGGTAAATCATACGTTCACTTTGAAAATAATAAAATAAAATTAAATCATTTAAACAATACTAATAGAAAGACCAGGTTCTGTTAATATTCCGATTAGTAATTTGAATTATTTTTTCGTTGCAAAAGTTAGAAAATACATTTGTAAACGTTAATCACATAACTTTGTTCTAAATAATGTAAAGACCAAAAGGAAGGTACGACTAATGGTTGGAGAATGTTATTAGTCTATGGCGAATGCATGAACAAATTTAATATTTACAATTATGATTTATTTAATATTTAATATTCATCATTCATTAGATGAGAATTATATTTAATATATCATAGGTAAATAATACATTCAACATATTATTTTATGGATGGGATTCAAATTGGACATTTTGATATAGAATATTTACGCCGTCTCAAGCCACAAACGTACTTTATTTACATTGTAATTACAGCGAGAGTTTTCACGCTAATGTTTATGTTCAAATAAAAAACGTTGCTAAGAATCTATTTAATTTCTTTATGAATCGAACAATCACGGATAAAGCTCTCTCGTTATTAATATGTTATTAAAAATAAGTTGCCATATGATAAGTTCCAAAAAAAAAAAGATTTTTTTATTGATATGCTAAATTTCAAACTTCTATTTTATATTCTTCACCCTGATCAAACTTGATCAAACGTTTTCCGATGGCAGTATTACGAATGAATTTTATAATATTGTATGTATGTACTTTAATGACATGTATGTAATTTAAACATAAAAAAAAAGAATCAGCAAACTTAACAGTTTATAAAAGGAACAGGAAACTTGATAATATTGCAGTCAAGTTGAATTAGAATACTATTTACAATTATTTTTTGTTTAATAGATATGTAATTAATTTAATTACAGTCGGAACTCTATAAAACGGAACTCTATAAAACGAATTCTTGTTATAATGAAGTTTTTCTAGTTTACCAATTCATTTATAATAAAATCAACTCGATAAGACGAAGATTCCTATTTTTTCACTTTAATGTTTAAGACGATGTTTTCATATGGTTCCATATATAGTAAACTATAGCTTGATAAGACGAATAATATCGGTTTATCGAATGAAACTTCGTTTTATTTTGTATAAATGATTTATTTACAGTAGTGGTAGTACGTATTGTTCCCTAAATTAAAAATTAAAAATACACTGACGTTGAAAGATAAAAGAGAAATATGTGTTCTAAACAATCAAAACCTACTCCAACGAATAGAGACCTTGCTATTTGTTTTAAAAATACTATTTGTGACATATTGAAACGAAAGTCAGACTATCTTGCTATTAGTCCAGAAGATCCGAATTCACATAATAAACATTTATGCAAAGTTAGAAGTAGCATTTTATTATATAAAAGCATCAATGTAGTATAGATGAATATGTAAACTTTGATGTATAACTTTTTTAACCCGAATTTTTTTTTAAAATATATTAACTTCGTTTTATCAAAGATTACTTGGTAAAACGATGTTTTGAGCCCAAACCAAGTACACCAGTTTAACGAGTTCTGACTGTAACCGGACACCATGTATTGTATGATGTATTTGCTAAAGATTCATTACTATCAATTCATCAAAATAGAAGATTTCTTTTAAAGATTTAATTTTTAAACATGATTGTCTCAAATGTAAGTGGCACATTAAAAAGTAGTACAATGAGAACGAGAACGAAAAAATAGTGGAAATAATATAAATTATTCCCTCTTGTATGTAGATCCGGGATATATATTAATAAATACTCTTAAATAATCAATTCACGATTCATAATAAACAAATAATAAATGCGGGTTAATAAATAAGAAAAATTGAATCCTAAATCGGTTTTAATTGTTCCAATTAATTATAAATCTAGTTTCGGTGGGCGAAATAAAGTCACATTCACATTATGGGCTAAATGCAAGAGAATGGAGAGTGAAGCATTGTAATCAGTAAATTATAATTTATTATCATCATATAAATACAGTTGATTTATAGTGGGGTTTTGAATAATATAATTAGAATTGTTCGATTGTTTAAAAACATGTATGTCGTCAATATAATATACTACTATGTGCATTAATTAATTTTTTTCTTTTCCAAAAAAAAATAATCACGGACAATTATTATGATTACTGTATTATCATTATATGATTATTTAGAAGATACATTAGTGTTTTGACATACAGTAACGTTTGTCAAGGTGCAAACTTTTGATAAGACGTTGTATATTTAATTTTTTTACCAGTAATAGAAATTCATAATCAAAATATTTTTAGTTGATATTACTTAATTGCTACTACTATTGTTAATATACTGCTATTAATAATAAACTATTTATAAATATTGCATTAATTGAATTATTTTTTCTAAAAACAATTATATACATGGTATGGTCAGAAAGAACTATAAGCAACCATATATAGACACGACAATTTCTACTAAATAAAGTTGTATAATTTAAAAAAAATAGAATATAGTAATAGTAAATAAACAGTAGATAATGTAACATCAATCAGGTCAGTCACAAAAATTCCTGTTTGTTATCAAAATTAAGTTTAACTAATCAACTGACTGATTATAATTCATTGATTTTTTTTATATTTTTTTTTTTAATGATTTATTTAATATAAAAGTCAAATTTTAGGTTCTCTAATAAAATATTTGGCTACTAATACTAATAGATTTGACCTATCAAATCTAACCAACCTTTTTGATGTATATAATAATTTGACCTACAGATTGCTATCATTAAATTAATTGACCCTGTTGATGATTGTTACATTCGTTAAATTTATAAATAATTTTCGGCAGTGAGCTTTCTATGAAGTTTGCATGATCCTGATGTGCCATTGGAAGATTGGAAGGGTTTGCAACTTACAATCTTCCAATGATAGAGGCATTGGAAGGTTGAAAGGCTTGTACGTCATCAATACTATTGCCCAAACAAAAATTGGGGGTAGAGTGTATGTAACACGGATTTTACTATATATATATGATAATTTTTATAATAATATCGGGATAAATTATTTTATTGAAGGTGAGTGAAGTGGATAAAAGAAGGTAGAATAAGTTCAACATTAACTATTATTTGGCACTAGAAAATATTTAATATAACATTCTCCTTCCACTTGCTTTCTTTAACATTAACAAAAATTGACAATGTCGCCCCAAGAATAAAAATAAATAGGTTATTATTATCACAACAAATATTTTCCTGTTCTTTCTCATGTTTCCCTATTTAAAAATAAATTGTGGCGTTAATACATCTAACTTTCAATAATGAATTGATTATTTGTAAAAATATCAAGTAAAAAATAGGGAATTCTGATTTTTGTCCATGAAAAATATTGATATGTAAAATATTGTCTTGTTATTATTTTCTACTACCATCATCACCCTTCAACTCTCCTAGTTGATAGCCAATACTAATGCACTGGAAATGGTATTTTTAAATTAGAATGTTTTTAATGAATGTCTCTAAATTTACATACAAACAAGGCTATTTTATAGAATTCAATCTAATACAGTAATACCACTTACCTTATGAATGAACTCCTTGTTGGCAAAAGCATTTTAAGATTTAATATTTAATATTTATTTAAACTGTCATATACTTTTTACAACAAAATTTGTTATATGTTTAATAGTGATTTGAGAATTTTATATGTGATAGGAAAACTACTTTTGACTTTACATGATTTTCTTTTAAAAGAAACTTTTAACAAGATATTATTTTTTTTATGACTATATGATTGGATACATATTAAAAAAAGATTCTGCAATAGTAAACATCTTACTAAGTTTGCTTGCTGAAACCTCCTAGAGACTGTCAAAACTCTGACAATTGACAAAACCCCCAAATGTGAAACTCTGCCGAAACTCTAATTAACAATTAATGTGTAACCTGTCAAAACTCTGTCAATCGATTCTGGAGGAATTTTGCCCACAACCTTACATCTTACTAAAGCAAGTTTTGGGTATAGCCTTGTATGAGGTTAATTGGTTATGAAAATTATTAGCCAGTCAATTACTATTTAATTACTATTTAAAATCACATGATTTCCTTCTACCCTTAAGCCAATGAATCAGCATTAAATTCTAATTCTGGTAAAATAATGGTGTGAAGCCTCTAAAGACCTCCTAAAGTTTACACAAACTTTAAAAGTTTAGAACTCAAGAACTACTATTGCAAGTGTGAGATCCAAGTTTGGTTAATTAACATGATACTCACTCAACAGTAGTCCACTAGCCCTCTAGTGACTTTAATTATGCTGGTTTTGGCCCCTGCCTCAAGATAATTAAAGATTTTTCCCACTATATTATTACTGGCCCCTACCTAATATAGTGACCTTTTTATATTGTCCTGACCTCTTCCCAATATAACCTAGGCTTAAGGCTCTGAACAAATCGATTCAAATCAAACCAGATTCCTAAAATTTTTAACATCATATTAAATTTATATTTTTAATTTGATAATTTAAGTTTATATTACACAGTGAATCTC